AGCTGAATTCTTCAAATAAATTCCTTACAAGGAAAAAGAAAAACTGAATGACAAATCACTTTCTAATCATACTTTGTAGACCAAGCTGTCAGCCTTATATTCGGTATTTTCATTGTTTTCATGCTTAATGAGCCTGATTGATATCTTCCCCCCAATCTTTGTGAAGTACTGAATTACAAGAAGATAAACTGCAGTTAACCCAAACCTGAAACCAAAAGCATGGTACACATAAAGCAAAACACTGTGTTATTTACATATTATAATCAGAAAAGAACTCTCACAACACAGATTGTAGTATTTGCCAAGGAAAATAAATCACCCAAAATTATTACTCAGGCATAATCATTTTCATCAACGTAAAAAAAAAAAAAAAAAAGAGAGAGAGGCACAGGATCTTACTTCACAATATCAGACTTGATGACCTCATAGAGATGAGCATAAGCCAACTCAAATGGTAATTGGAGGCAGACAATACTCAAAATAATGATAGCATCATTTCTGAATCGCTTGAGATAACTAAACCATTCATATTTTTGAAATGCTTCTTTCTCTTTTGTTTTATCAGTTCCCAAATTTTTTGTAATTTCCATTGGAGACTGTAGGGAGCCCCACTCCCTCCCCAATAGTTTATATCCTTGGCTTGTGCTGACAGAAAAATTAAGATGCCACCTACATCAGTCAGGGAGAGAGAGAGAGGAAATAACTAAATCAGAAAAGCTGAAGAAACAAGCCTTGTATTTAGGAAGATGGCCCAATAGTTAGAAATCAATTTACCTGGCTGAAAGTGCAGAGTTTTTACGTTTCCAGAACTGGAAAAACAACACAGCCCACAATACTATGCTTATGAAGAAAGCAGGAAGCACTAGTAATTGCAATGATCTGGATTAATCATTATGCCCAAGCAATCAAATTAAACCAAGGATAAAGCAATTCAGTACCTGAGAAGACAAAAATAGCTTCCAAGCAGAAAGAAGCAGTGTGGCTTACCCAAAATCAACCAACTGTAAGATAAGCCCAAATGCAGCTGGAAAAATCATCCAGCGTGTATACATTCCAAGGAAAGCAAAATAGACTGCAATCTACCACATGCAAATACCTTGATTAAGCAATATACTAAGCACTGCAACAGTAATCTGCAAAATTTCGCTAGCTGTGAAGTTATAATCACCTTTGTCCCAAAATATGTGTAAATATCATCAATTGGCTGATTCGTGAAGTCCCAACAATTTAATGCCCAATTCCTGAGTAGCTTCTTCCTCTTTGTTTCATCTATAGACAGGATTTATCTTACTTCAGGGCTTAGAAAGCATGAGAACTGCAGGTAATTTGCTTATAAATGTAACCAAGCATACCGTGTACAGGGAAAACTTGTTTAACAATTCCTTCCAATTCCAATCTCTGCAGTAATGATTCCCCCACTTCCCATTGGATCTCTTTGCCATCAAATTTTAAAGTTACATCTGAATTCTTCTTATTAACCTGTAAAATTTTTATTTCATTACTGGTCCTCCAAGAGGCATAAAATTCAAAATCTTTAATGGGTAGAGGCAGCATAGATACACAGGACAGATCCAAAGACTTGCATACAAAAACAACAGGGCAATGCTCACATGCATATGTGCACATTTTTTACTATATAGAGAACATCAAAACAGTAGAACTCCTATTGATCATATCAAAGGCACCAACCAGTGACAAACAACTATTATTTAAATAAACAATCATGAGCAGCCAGTTGACTAACACACCATAAAATTCACTTGTGATTGCATCTCATTCAAGATACATGCATTTGAATGTTAATTTGACTGCCACAAAATAAAGTAGCGCTGTGAAATTAACTAGTGATGCCAACCATGTAAGTTAAACATAAAACTAGATGCTAGAAGATAAAGAAGCCATACAAAGTTAATTATTACTGCATCTCATTCAAGACCTTTAAATTTAGGACTTGATGTCTCATAAAGATGTATTGTTAAACTAGAAAGAGAAATAAGTAAGATGGCGCACATAGAATGACTCACAGTTTCATATATCAAGTGATGGTAGCACTGGAAACGCTCACACCAACTAAACAATGAGCCATCAGGCTGCCGCACAAAAGCTTCGACCTCTTCCCACTCAAACTGTAAATCAATTCCTGAAGTGCAATGCTTTATTAACAAATTTTCACGAAAAACAAGTATTTAATCGAAATGAAGGTAAGGAAAAGGAACGGGACAATCGTCAATATCTAAGCCAAATAATTATTACCAATACGAGTGGGCTTCTTCATCTGCAGCTTCGCTGCAGCCCTTCCCAAAGTTTCTAAAGGTGCCGCCAGCTGAAAGAAAGATAGTTATCAAACAACTTAACTCAAGATTAACTTTACATCCCAACCACTTGGAAACAATCAAAAGAAAGGAAACTTCAAAAACTAAATCAAGCATGACTTTAAAAAACAATAAAAATTGAGGAATAAGGCAGAATAGGCAATAAATTGAAAATTTTAAATAAAATGTTTAAATTCAGTTTTACAAGCCAATTTGCTAATAAATTTCTTTCATTATTCAGGAAAAAGGAAAAGGGAAGGCTGGAGGGTGGTTCTCAAACAAATGCATGCAAATTTTCTAACTGGAAATACTGAAGTAATCAAGATAAAGAAAATTTCCTTTCATTGAAGGAAATCCATAGCCATTAACTTGTATGCAACAGAATATCAAAAAAAAAAAAAAAGCCCACTACAATTGCACAAAGGAATTTGTTGATAAGAATGCATAGTCCTATATTTGTTTAGCACATGCACGCACACACACACACACAAAACCCTCTTAGCAGGAGCCAAAAGGGAAAAAGAATACTTCTTTAGCTAAATTTGGTTACTGTAGATTTACTGTAACAGCCAGCAGAAGGCAAAATAAATTATGAATTTATTTTTAAAAAAAAGGATCAAAAGGGACAAAAAATTATTCTTCAGGACAATGTAGAGGATGCCCAAATTTGAAAAGTAAAAAAAAAAATCAAACCTTGATAAACTCATCTGAAAGGCCAATAACTCTCTCAACAACGAAGCCCACATTCCTGAACTCATTTACAAGAACCTCAACACAATCATAACCCTCATTTTCTTCCTTTAGGTTCCTTTTTGGAACCACCACAGCAATCTCGAACACAATTTGGTCTTCTCCAAACCCATTCATTTTCCAGAGCCAAATTCACCCAAAACAGCATAAAAAAGAGAAGAAGCACCTGAATCTAGTGCACTGTAGTTTACAAGAAACAATGAGGTGGGGCGGTGGTTTCTTTGTAATCAGTTAAAAACAACCTATTCGGATCTATTTTTGCCATCAAAATGCATTTGAAATTAACAAAAGGTGGAATCTTTCCTTTTTCTGTAATGACCAAAAAATGGGTCCTGTCAAATGTCAGCTCAAAAGGGTAAATGGGTCTGTGTAAGTTTTATAGAAAAAGGTGTCCATTTTGAGCCTAACAGCCTAATGGGTTTTCTGTGTTTGGGATCGAAGAAAGATTAGTACATTCGAAGGAGATAAATTTGAAATTTCCTTCAAAATGGGATATGGGCATAGGAGGGTTTCTGGTTTTACTTTTCAGCCTAATAAATAACCAGATGGGGTAGGGAGGTTCACTGTCTAGGACTAAATAGTTTCTGTCATAATGCCAAACGAATCCGAGTAGAAGATAAGTACATAGAAGAAAAATACATGCAGGTACCTCTATACACAGGTGTCTAAGCAGTCGGGTATTAGGGGAGAGGTTGAAGTGAAAGAGAGACACAGAGGACAGTTTAACGGGATAGTGACACGTACGCATGTGACTTGGCACTTTCCTTTGTTTCTTTCTTGCCCCACCTCCATGCATTTTTGATGTAATGAGTCTAATGATCATGCAAAATTCTTTTTCTTTTCTTGGCTTTTGTAAACAGAAAATTCCTACATCACGTTGCCGAATTCAATCCATTTTCAGTGTCTCTTTGGTGCAATTTGCCTGCGGGTGATGATAGTTGTGGAATGTGGAGTTCTGAGGAGGAAAGTGATACGCAAGACAGATATATATATATATATATATATCTCATTCCTGGCAGGCTGGAAGCATAGTTTTTGGAATCAGAGGCACTGGTAGCAGCAGGAATGCGTGTTGGTTTTTATACATTCCCTTAATTCCTTCGACAGAGTCACTGAGCATTCATATCTAATAAATATATACAAACTGCTTCGTGTTATAACATTGGATTGGAAAATTGGCATTTAACAGTATTAACATTTGGATAATTCAGTAAAAGCTAAGCTCATTGTTTCTGATAACGATTAGTATCATTAGCCAACTTGGGCAGTAATTTTTAGGAAACCTCTAAGCCTGCCTTTTGCTTTCCAAGTTAAGAAGTAGACAGGAGGAAAAGCCTATGTCTTGGGATGAGCTTTGCGGCACCACATAGTGGCGTTCGGATAATGGAACCTTCGAGGAAGCAGGGTTGCTTCATTTCACAGTAGCTAAAATGCTGCTAGTACTATATCTATGAACTTCAAGTTTTATTTATGAGAACCGACAACCTTAGAAACTCATTGCAAAACTATTTGAGCTTAATGTAAACTCCATCCACATGCCAAAGTTTCTAATAACTTATCCATTTTGCATGTAGTCGTCACATGTTCAAATATCAACTCCCAAGGGCTAAGGGGTAGCAAAATCCAGGGTTTAACCCAAGTTACTAGTTTGCAGCAAATCCTGTTTAAGAGTTTGTATAATCCAATTTTTTTTTATTACAAAATGTTTCTGATAAAAGCTGTCTAAAAAATACCTTATGCATTATTATGCTGTGTGATTTTATAATTACCAATTTTAGGCACTTGTTTATTGCTTATAGAGGAAGAAAATGGATATTTATAGTCTAAGGCCCAAAAACAGTATGTAAGGTTGGTCCCACTTGGCGGTCGGCCCTTTACGCTGCTTTTCCACCTTCGCCCCCTTTTCCTTTAACCAAAAATAAATAAATAAAATACACACACAAAATCCTTATACAAGAAGCAAAACGGAGTCAAGACGCGATCAAAACACCCAAAAAAGAAAAATAAAAAACCCAATTTCTTAGCCCTAATATCTTCAAACCCTTTCAGGATCAAATCTTTCTCTGCGAACGAAGAGAAAAAAAAAAATCCGGCCATGGGAAACACCGAGAAGCTCTTGAACCAGATCATGGACCTGAAATTCACGTCCAAATCGCTGCAACGCCAGTCGAGGAAGTGCGAGAAGGAAGAGAAATCTGAGAAACTGAAGGTGAAGAAGGCGATCGAGAAAGGGAATATGGATGGAGCTCGGATCTATGCCGAAAACGCTATTCGCAAGCGCACCGAGCAGATGAACTACCTCCGGCTCGCGTCGCGTCTCGATGCTGTCGTTGCTAGGCTCGATACCCAGGCTAAGATGACCACCATTAACAAGTCCATGGGTAATATCGTCAAGTCTCTCGAATCTTCCTTGGCCACTGGTAATTTCCTCGTAAAAGTTTTACTTTTAAATTCTTGATCGTCTTCTTTTTTGGAAATTATAGGGTGTAATTGAAGGAGAACCAAAAAAATTGCATCTTTGGGAAACTTTAGCCTAAATTAGCCAGCTACCCAATTTTTTTTTTCGTGTTAATTTTTCGTAAAGGATTTTTTCTTGCTAATATAGTGGCAATTTACTTCAAAATTTTCTTTGGTAATGAAATTTTCCTTCCTATTTTTCATATATACCAAACAAAGTGAGAATTATCAACATTGTGGTTATTTTCTTTTCCGTTAATTTTCTTTTTAAATTTTCCATGAACCTGACATAGCCTAAAGGAAAAATATGTGGAGATAATAGCCTAAAGAAAAATTCTTTCTATTTATTGGTAGATGTCGTTTTCCTTTTTTATAAGTGTAAATTAACGGCATTAATGCTGTAATTTGGATGTGAATATGGTGAAACTGGAGGGTTTGTTCTTTTGCTCTTGCAGGCAATTTGCAGAAGATGTCAGAGACAATGGATCAATTCGAGAAGCAATTTGTGAACATGGAGGTCCAGGCAGAGTTTATGGAGAGTGCTATGGCTGGTTCTACTTCATTGTCCACACCAGAAGGTGAAGTCAACAGCTTGATGCAGCAAGTGGCTGATGATTATGGGTTGGAGGTCTCTGTTGGGCTGCCACAGCCAGCTGCTCATGCTGTGTCAACCAAGACACAGGAGAAGGTTGATGAGGATGATTTGTCAAGGCGGCTTGCAGATCTTAAGGCTAGAGGTTAAAAATGGTGGAATTGATTTGAATTATCTTATGATGTATAATAACACAATGATGTCTGGGATTAAATGCTGCTTAAAGATCTTATTCTATGTGTAAATTTAACTGAATTTGGTTTATCTTTATAATGCAATGTGTGTTTCATATCAATGAGCTGATGCCTTAATTGTGAATTTTAACTGTATACCGTTTTCCCCGGAAATCGCTGAATGTGGTATGTGGGGTGATTGGATCTTTGTGAATGAATTGGTAGAGAGGTTAGTGTTGGTGTTGGTAGCCATGATGTTTGAGATTAATCCTAGGGTAAAAGAAAGTATTTGTTTTTGTGAGGATTGATAAGTGGCTCAATATTTTCTTCTTCATCAAGTGAATGGATTAGGTAAAAGCTATTGAAGATAAGCATTCATATTTTGGATGACCACTATTTTGGGGGTTGAAGGTCTTTCATATAACATGTCTCTGCTTAATGTAGAAATGTGGGCATCAGTGTATGGTTTCCATTTCTCTACGTGACCTTGAGTTTTGAGATCACAGAATGAGAATCTGTTACTATAGAGAGCTGATGATAATTTGAATGGTGTTTACTGTTTGGTTAGTAGTTTCCTACTTGTAGGGAGATCAACTGAATTCACCATTGTGGTTTACATGCTTTAACTTTATGTGTCCAGTTTCACTATTTACCATCACGTCACCTTTCCCTGAAAAACAAATGTATATGTTGATGGCATGCCTAAATGACCAGGTATTGTGATCAATTAGGCCATTATTATAGATTTTAAGAATAAATATTGGAGTTTCCACTTTGGAGAAAGCTGTGCCGACAGCTCTTTTGCAGTTTCTTCCTCTGCTTGGCAACTTCCTTGAGATGAAAAATTAGGAGATAAGTAAAGACACGGCAAATGAGCATCAAATATGTGTGCAACAAATTGAAGATATATCCAGTGTGACCAGTATATCACAGCTGTTCCGAAATAGAGGAAAGGGAAAGAGCACTAATTTGGTAGGTGGAAAGAAAAATTAAGGAAAGGGGCACATAAAGGGTAGGAGTGAAATTTATTCTTTTCTCTTCATGTTTAGGGTAATCGATGGAAAAATTAAAAAAAAAAAGATGAAGGTAAAGCATAAATGGAATGATTATTTTAGTTAATTCATTTGTTTCCTTCCTTTTTTCTGTCCAATTAAGCTCACCCTCAACATAATCTCTACTTTTAACCTGTTGATCCTTACTTCTTTTTTTACTCTAATTTTTGTGCAAATAAAAGATTTTGGGATACTGGAACAGTTCCACCCCACCCAAGAAAGGGACATGGAATATGGACCTGATGTTATTCTTCTTTTGCCATGGTAACGCTGCTCTCCCTCTGTTACAGTCTCAATTGAGAGGTGAATGGTTAGAGAGAAAGGATCCTTTACCTTGCTTTGCTCATTTCATGAAAAACAAGTAGGCATAACCCCAACTCATTACTAACATCAAATAACATACCAAAGGCGACAAAATCCAAAATATATCAAAAGAAGATTGTGTGCTTTTTAAATCTTAGGTACATGCTGCCTTAATTTCAATGAAGAACTTTAAGCCTCCCTGTTGGCGAAGGGGCCTTTTCACTAGTTATTATTCTTGGCAGAGGATTTCGAGACACTACTGGCAAGCCTTTGAAAGCCTTTCTGCACCTTCTGAAAGAGTTTCGGAGATTGCACCCGAGATAAACGAAATCCGATTGAATCAAGATACCATGCGCTTCGCCCATTGAACCCGGCGATCTGCCCTCCCTCCATGGAGAAAGTGAAGGGAGTTCCTTCTTCAACTCCATATGGACCAAACGTTCTCTGGTTACTCTTAAACGTGAGTGATCGAATAACAGGGCCACCTCCATGAACTACAGGACAGTAATGACCACTTACACTGATCAAGAATTCTTCTGGGAATTTGAGCTTAATCTAGAAAACAAACCAACCAATGGAATTTGAGTGTGATTGTAATGATTATAGCTCATCAAAAATTAAAAAAGGTTAAGAATAGAGGTACTCAGCTAACCTCAACCGTCTTGTTTCCTCCTACACCTCCATGTTTTTCTGCTGTTACAGGCTTACCGTTCTTATCATAAATCACTCTGATTGAGTCGATGCAACGATCATAAACCAGAGTGATTTCTCTTACCCCATGATAGGTTCCATCGTCCCAAGCAGCTCCACCGGTTCCTCCCCATGGTCCTACGACCACACTCATTTTCTTCTTACCGCTTGGCTGATCCTTGCCACCATCCTATATATATACAAGTAAGAAGTTCCACATAAAAGTTAACTACATGTTCAAATCTTAGAACTCAATAAAATATACTATGCAAGATGTCTGTTATTGGAATAAGAGAACCAAACTTTCTTCTTTCGTTATTTTATATTCAAAATCCGACTCTGTGTACACGAAACCACAAATTTAAAGCTACAAGGTCATGTATTAATCTCCTATCTTAGTATGGTTAAATAGTCAAAGGTTCATCCAAAGTATATTAAAAAATATGACCTTTTCCACTTAAATATACATCCTAACAAGGAAAAACAAAGTTATTTAGGATTTCTCACCATATGAACCTGCAGAAGTTGGAAGATCAGATACTGAATTCAGAATAAAGGATGAGCTTTGGCCTTCACCTTAGACTGAGGCGTTCTAGCTTATGGAGTAAGCTTTGTTTTAGAGGAAAGTGGTGCTAAAATAGATAGCAACTGGAACCAGATACCATTTCCAGCACCCTCCGAGGATTGGGAATTTTGCTTTTGCTTCGTCAATAACCATTTTCACAAATATATTATTTTCTGTGACACCCAATCATCAGAATAAATTCCTAGGAGATTCAAAGCACGAAGGGTAGGCATTGGAGTTTCTGTTAATAAAAGCATGTAATGAATCCACAACCAAAAAAGTATAGAACCAATGCTAAAAGTTTGGGTAACAACCAAAAATCCAAAATTCTGGCCTGGTAACATTCAGTTAAACATGAATTTACCCCTGACAAACATGATTAAGGGGTTTCCAACTTAATTTGAAACAATTAGTTTCGAGCATAGCTGGAGATGACCTCAACCAAGCAATCCATTCAGATGTACTTTTGCTATTGGCAAGGTTTTCAGTTTTGACATTATCCAGAAAGTACCACCAGCATTTATCACCGGTAACGTTGTCTGCAGAAGCTAAGCTCCTTCTCTCCGGCCACTAGTTTCTTACGTACCAGCGGTGACTCAGGAAAATCAAGTTACTAACCAGAATTCATATCTGGGTGCATATGTCACGGGGGTTTTCTCTTGACCCGTGCGGCCTAACCTTTGCTTTGCTCAAGATCTCTTAGAAAGACTAGCAGCCTTCTCAATTAAAACAAGTTAGGATCATTTATGACAACACAAGCAAGAAAAGAGAGCTTTTATTTCATGAAATTCTGGTACAAGAGTCATTAACCTCAAATGAGGGAGCTCAAGAGGGTTTTATAAGTCTTAGACCCCTTGGAGTTGTTACAAGCTCAATCCCAATATTTAAAGGCTGTTTTGAGCCCTGTTGGACCCTATTGATGCGCCCTGGGCACTATTGCCAATACTCGGCAACGGCTACCTCACAGGCCCAGGGCTAACCAGTGTTTCCTTTACATTAAGCAGATTGCCTGGGCAGTCCGCGCCCCCCAGTTTCGTGCCAGTCTACCTGCTCCACTATGCTCCCTTTTCCTATTGGCCTGCACGCCTTGTCTGTCTGCTGCCCAGTCTGCCTGCTGGTCTAAGCGCTCATCCGTCCCCGGGTGCCAATGCTTTCGAGCCACAGTACTGTTTTGGCACCGAATCGGAGTCCCAGCCCTTGTTGCTCTCCCATCCTCGTGTTGGCCCACTCACTCTTGAGCCTCAATCCCTTGCCATCGAGCTAGCCTGCTCCTCACCACAAAATTGGCGTGACACACACATACAAACCTTCGACGGCTAAACAATTATACCTTGGGGAGATTGCTTTTGGAAATTGACAATGATGATAGTGTCTCTGGATGCCATGTTCTTAAAATATCATCGAACAGATCCTCAAGAGCTGTTGATGATTTGACCACATCGAGTTTGAGATGATAGACTAGTGGAAGAAAAATTTCCTTTGGTTTTTCACAAATGACAATATTCTTGATAAACAATGACGAGCAGAATAGCGAAAATTTGTGAACATAGATGTTACGTGTGGATGATTACATTTTATTCTTGATAAAAATAGTAGAAAAGTAATCTCGAAATGAAGATACCTTATTGGAGCAGCCCACCAATTTCAAACCGTTTGAGTAAACGGACTTCTTAAGAAATTCTTACAATCTAGCAGACCAATGGGTGCGATCATCTTCGTTGCAGAATCCAGCTTTAGCCTCTTGTTTTAATGGTTTAAAATGGAGCTTAGCCTCTTCCAAACTCGACGGATTCATAGAAGAAAAATGCATTTTATCACCCTTGTACTTAAATAAAAGAAGATTCGGGGAACCAATATCAGCTTCCTTTAGCTATTTGCATTCTCTCAAGATAAGGGTCTTAAGTTGATAACTTGAAATTGTTCCTTTTCAAGGCTTTACACTTGCTTAAGACCAATTTTTCAAGGACAAGGAAACAACTCACCCTTTAGTTTAGCATTTGCTATTGTCAAACTCTTAAGGGTGTTGCACATGGGTACGTTGATTTTGCATGGCGTAGATTTCTTTTCATGGTACCACAATGTTTCAAGATTTGGGGATTCGAAGTTAACTTTCTTTAGCCCCTTGTAAAAGTGCAAATCAACCAAGTTTAGGAAGATTTGAAACTTGAAAAATTTTCTATCCAATAAAGTAGATGATAGAAATAAATTGAGAAGTAAGTGAAAATAAAATAAAGCAAGTAAGAACATTAAGAAGTCTGAGGCGTGGTATCATTGTTTTTGTAAAGATAATTTTCGCTCAGTCGTAGTATAAAACTCGATGCAAAAGGACTATAGCGATTATCCTTCAAGATTCAATAGACCATTCTTTATAGTTTGCATAAACAATTAACGGATGATAGAAATAGTAAAAAGAAAAAACCCTACTAGGAAGGAAAAGAAGCAGAAAAATTAAGTAGAAAAGACTTAAGAGTAGGTGAGAGGCTTTGCTGTGGTTAGAGTGGGGCAGGAAAGATATATTTATAGGTAGAGAATGAAATGAATGCTACATTAAAAACATTTCACCAAATTAGAGAGTTAAGAAAAAACTTTAAGGAGTTAGAGAAAAAACATGGTTAGTATGTATACTTAGTCAAGTATACACCGTAGCAAAATTAATAGAGTCATCAACATGGAAAGTAGAGTAAAAAAACCAAATTAGGGAGTTGAGAAAAAGGCGTAAGGAGTTAAAAAAAAAAACCTGGTCAGCACGTATATTTAGTTAGGTAAAAGGGAGTTAAGAAAAAACCTCAAAGAATTAGAAAAAAAAAACTTGATTAGCATGTATACTTAGTTAAGAGTTGAGAAAAAGTCTCAATGAGTTAAAAAAATTAATAGAGTCATCAACATATTAGGTAGAGTAAAAAAACCAAATTATGGAGTTGAGAAAAAGCTTAAAGGAGTTAGAGAAAAAACTTGATCAGTATATATACTTAATTAGGTAAAAAGAAATTGAAAAAAAGTCTCAAGGAGTTGGAGAAAAAATCAAAATCTGAAAAAAAAAAATTGGTTAGCATGTATATTTAGTCAGGAGTTGAGAAAAAGCCTCAACGAGTTAAAAAAATTAATAAGGTCATTAGCGTGGTAAATAAAGTAAAAAAGTCAAATTAGAGAGTTGAGAAAAAGTCTCAAGAAATTAGAGAAAAACTTTAGTCAGCATGTATACTTAGTCATGAGTTGAGAAAAAAAACTTAAAGAGTTAGAAAAAAAACAAAACTTGATCAGTATGTATACTTAGTCAAGTAAAAAAATTAAAATCAAAATACAAAAATTCTAACCTTGTCAGCATGTATACTTAGTTAGGTAAAAAGGGTTGAGAAAAAGCCTCAAAGAGTTAGAAAAAAAATCTGATTAACATGTATACTTAGTTAAGAGTTGAGAAAAAGTCTCGATAAGTTAAAGAAATTAGTAGAGTTATCAGGGGTAGAGTAAAAAAATCAAATTAGAGAGTTGAGAAAAAGCTTAAAGGAGTTAGAAAAAAAATTTAATCAGTATGTATACTTAGTCAAGTAAAAAGAAGTTGAGAAAAAGTCTCAAGGAGTTAGAGAAAAAATAAAAATCTGAAAAAAAAAACTGGTTAGCATGTATACTCAGTCAAGAGTTGAGAAAAAGTCTCAACGAGTTAGAGAAATTAATAAAGTCATTAATATGATAAGTAGAGTCAAAAAGCCAAATTAGAGAGTTGAGAAAAAATCTCAAGAAGTTAGAGAAAAAACCTAATCAGCATGTATACATAGTTAGGAGTTGAGAAAAAAACTTAAAGAGTTAAAAAAAAAAAAATTAGGTTAGCATGTATACTTAGTCAAGTAAAAAAATTAAAGCCAATATACAAAAATTCACGTAGGCATAACCTACATGTATATTCGCACGAAAGAGGAAAAATTTAAAATTCTTCAAGATTTGGCCCAATCTTGTGTGCATGCGAGCTCACTCTATTTTCTTTACTTGTAACAAACTCATAGTGGGTTTTCATATATAAGACATTCATTTTTCTTGTATCTTAACAATGTGGGATATTTGAACCTTATGAAATACACTATTTTTTAACAGATAAATCTAAAATTCTCAAGCAGAAGATAGTTATAGAGTAAAATTCTCAATTATTTGCTCATCTATACAGAGTTTTTTAAGACACACTTTTTATAGATTAAAAAGATTTAGCTCATTACAAAGTCTCAACTGAGACCATTAAGTCTTAATGTAGTTATCTTTTTGATAATAAAGACACATTGAGGTAACTAGTAGCTTCTATACTTATACCAAGGATATGAAGATTTAACTCTCTAATATTTTTTCTCAATGTTAAAAGAGAATTATTTTAAAATCTTTTATTTTATGTGCATCTTTGTTTATATTATAGGATTTTTTTTTCTTATGTAATGTTTATTTATTATCTTTTTACTTTACTTGCACTCCAAGAAAATCTAATATTAGAATATTTCTTATTTACTTTGTTTGTATTATAAGTAAGTTTAGGATGCGCTATATCTATAAATAGTTCTTTTATGTTTCATTGTTAAACTGAACAGGATTTCTTTTGACACATTTTACTTTTTATGGTATCAGAGTCAAATTCCTAACAAAATTTTTTTCTTTTCAGCCATTATGTTGATCTAGTTGTGGTAAAGTGATATTTTTTTTCAGTGATTTATTTTCCATTGGTTGCTTTGGAGTTACACATGATTTGTTCTCTATCGACTGCTTCGATGTCACACGTAATTTATTATCTATCAACTATTTCAACTTTGTACTTGATTTGTTCTCTGTCAGTTGTTTCAATGTTATACATGATATTATATTAATAGTTGACTACTAGACGATAATTCTGATAATTTTCAAAGAAGATCACTTTTATATTGTGTTTCGTATAATCCAATATGTCTTGCTATGATGCAATATATTCTGATAAGTTAGTTATTCATATACATTTAAGATATAAATGAGTTTATGCTTCAAGAAGCAATTAAAGTAAAGTATATGTGGTGTCTATTCTAATTTAATAAATTTGTATTAGCCATGATGCTTCTATGTTATACGTGATATGTTAT